TCCAAGAGCCGCCATGAACGGCTATCCAGAGGCCGGTGACTGATCTGCCTCACCCCGGAAGAGCACAATGATAATACCAACATGGGTCAGTGAAGCGACGTCCCCCACAACTAGACTGAAGAACAAAATGACAGCAACTTGTCTGTTCCCCTCCTCTAATTCCCCAATCAAATCTTTGAAAAAAAAAATCCCTCCACCTTACCACTCTGGATTCTGTTTTTTCTTGGTTTTGATTTCCTGTCGATATTTGACCCTTGGAAATTTCCCTTACTTTCAAAGGGAAGTCTTAGGATTCCGCTTTTTTTATAACAAAAGACCAAAACTTTGCAGGCCACTTCTGCTTTTTGAATTCCCACATACTTTTCCTAAGGCAACCAGCACATACCTAGCACCCCACTGGAATGGAGAAAGGGCAAAATACAGAGGAACTAAATATAAATTGTTATTTCAACACATGATCTACCTGCACAGGTAAAGGATTTGGCTAGAGTCAGTGATTGTGTGAGGTATTATTGTGCTCATTGAAAAAGACTCATTTCTTCTTCTCATTGTACCACAGTAAAGACTTCTTGGCAAGCCCAGCAGAAGCATCTCACCCCATGGAGAGATGCTTGGTGATGGAGGCAGCCAATGGCTCTGAGGATGGCTTGGATTTCAACCCCATGAAGGATTACATGATCCTGAGCAGTCACCAAAAGATAGCTATTGCAGCGTTGTGCACCACCCTGGGCCTGCTAAGTGCCCTGGAGAACCTGGCTGTGCTCTACTTAATCCTGTCCTCCCACCGGCTCCGCAAGAAGCCCTCGTATCTGTTCATAGGAAGCTTGGCTGGGGCTGACTTCCTGGCCAGTGTGATCTTTGCCTGCAACTTTGTAAATTTCCACGTCTTCCATGGCGTGGATTCCAAGGCTGTCTTTCTGCTGAAGATCGGCAGCGTGACCATGACCTTCACAGCCTCTGTAGGCAGCTTGCTGCTGACCGCCATTGACCGCTACCTCTGTCTGCGCTACCCACCTACCTACAAAGCCCTACTCACCCGTGGGAGGGCACTGCTGACACTGGGCATCATGTGGGTCCTCTCAGCATTGGTCTCCTACCTGCCCCTCATGGGATGGACTTGCTGTCCCAGTCCGTGCTCTGAGCTTTTCCCCCTGATCCCCAATGACTACCTGCTGGGCTGGCTCCTGTTCATCGCCTTCCTCTTCTCTGGCATCATCTACACCTATGGGCACGTCCTCTGGAAGGCCCATCAGCATGTAGCCAGCTTGGCTGAGCACCAGGGCAGGCAGGTGCCAGGAATGGCCCGGATGAGGCTGGATGTGAGGTTGGCCAAGACCCTAGGGGTGGTGCTGGCTGTGCTGCTCGTATGCTGGTTCCCGGTACTAGCCCTCATGGCCTACAGCCTGGCCACCACGCTAAGTGACAAGGTCAAGAAGGTCTTCGCCTTTTGCTCCTTGCTCTGTCTTGTCAACTCCATGGTCAACCCCATCATCTATGCCCTGCGGAGTGGGGAGATCCGCTCCTCTGCCCACCACTGCCTGGCCCGCTGGAAAAAGCGCCTGAGGGGCCGTGGGGCTGAAGGAAAAGAAGAGGTCCCCAGGTCCTCAGTTTCTGAGACGGAGGCTGATGTGAAAATCACCCAGTGGCCAGATTCCAGAAGTCTATACTGCTGATGTGAACTCTTTCACGGTTTTAAACAAGCCAAGACAGAAATCATTTCACGCTCTGGAGGAGAGGGAGCAGTCTTGACCCTCTCATCTTATTTGATCCAGCCCCGGGGGTCTGGACACTTGCCCTTTTTCTCTGATGAGTGTTGGCACTGACCCCTGGAGGGTAGCCTGGTCATGCCTATCTGCACACAGTCTGTTGGATAGCTAGACCCTGTGAGGAGTGTCAAGGTGGGCAGGAGGCAAGAGGCCTGGGCCAGCCTCAGTACATGTCAGGTCAGGAAAACCTCAACAAGATGGCTTAGTGCCTGCATTCTCCAGAGACCACAGGAGCCAGAGGGCGCCTTCAGGCTCAGCAATGAGGGACCTGAAGGAAATCTGAGAAGAAGAATGGGTTCTTCTCCTGGGATCTCAGAGCATTAAATGGACGGCCAGCCAGTCCTTGGTCCTGCTTAGCTGGTGGGGCCTCCTTGGTTCTGGAGCACGAAAGGCCCCACTTTAGGTAGCCCTTTCCAACAGAGGACCAAGAGCTGAGATGCGATGAGGATCAAGGCTGTTGGTCCACCTCTTTCAGAGGTAACTGACAAGCCTCCAGTTCAGGTCACCTTGTTATTGGGGTAGTGGCCCTTCTTGGCACCCTGATCATCCCCACCCACAGACACTGTGGCCTCTTAGATCTCTGGGGAACACAGAGGGAGCTGGGATCATTTGAGACACGGAATCTTCAGAGAATTTTATTGACCCTATGAAGCCCTATTTGGCGGTACCACTGGAAGCAGGCAGTTTTGCAGTCTAACCCAACTCCAAGAAAAAGGGAGATATTCACAAATATTTTATAAATCCCCCAATTGTTTCCATGCACCTCTTTGTCTCTTCGACACCTCTATAACAAATCATAAACACAGCAAGTGGGAGGAGGGGGAAGTTCCTTTACTATGTGCGAAGCACAGGGCTGACATCCCGCAGTCCATTATCTCCAGCAAGAACACAGCCCCGGGCTTTTGAAGATCCCAGGACATCACATTTTACATATCAGGGAGGCTAGGTTCCTACAAGAGGGGCTTAAAACAGTAAGCAAGAAAAATTGTTGGTGATGGGAGGATTACAAAGAATTCTAATGCAATTATTTGGGGCCACAGACAGAATAAAAGAAAAGATGCTGATTAAACATGTCTTCATTTAATACTTTACAAGATACGGTGTCGGGCCAGCCAAAGGGCTCAGTTGGTTAAGAGCTGGCTTGGGAGCGTGAGCTCTGAACAACAGGGTCACCAGTTCGGATCCCACATGGGCCAGTGATGCTGCGCCCTTTACAGCTAAGATGGTGAACAACAGCTCGACCGGGAGCTGGACTGCCGAGAGTGGCCGGCGACGGTGCAGGCTGCCGTGGGGCTGCAGTGGGCTGCCATGAGCTACCTTGAGTGGCCAGCTGCCAGCGAAGCAGCAATGAGCCACCATGAGCGGCCATCCACTGGCCGCCGACTGACAGCCTCAGCCAGGAAGAACGCAATGATCATAATACCAACATGGGTCAGTGAAGCGGCGTCCTCCACAACTAGGCTGAAGAACAAAAGGACAGCAACTTGTCTGTTCCCCTTCCCTGATTCCCCAACGCTGTTCCCCTCCCCCAATTAAAAAAAA